CATCAGCATAATCAGTATCATCATCATAAGCATCATCATCAAAATAATCATCGTCAGAATCATCACCATCGGTATCATCAGCATGAGCATCATCATTATCGTCATCGTCGTCGTCAGCGACGCCGTCGTCATCAGCATCATCATCGTCATCAGCATCGTCATCATCGTGATCGGCAGCATCATCATCAGCATCATCAGCATCATCATCACCACCACCACTGCCATCGTCACAATCATCAGTTGCAGCATCATCATCATCATCTTCATCATCAGCATCACCCTCATCATCATCAGCAGCATCATCATCATCATCATTATCATCATCATCAGCATCATCATCATAGTCAGCACCATCAGCATGATCATCATCATCACCACAGCATCGTCGCCGTCAGCAGCACCAGCATCATCATCATAACCTCCCTCCCCTGACATGATCGGGACGTCGAACAAAATCACGACGACCGGTTGTTGGCTGTTTCGGCCTCTGGAGGCCCTCGCTGGCCCCGTGACCATCAAAAACGATTCGGGATGAAAAATCGGCCCTGGGGAAAGACGACCGCGTGTTGAACAAATGAACCAAAAAACAAGACACCCTGGGAATGGGAGCCTTCGGGCACTGCTAATCCATCCTGCTCCTCCTCCTCCCTCATCGTTCTGATGTCCCCTCCTCTGCTCACCACTGCCCAGCTTCCGCGCACGCGTTGGTCCCAGTGCTGCAAGAGTAACCGTGAGAAGCAATTACCGAAACGGAGGGAATCGCCGGGCGACAACGTTCAGCACCCCAAACACATGGATGATCGAAATACTGCCGCGGGGGGGAGGCTGTGGGAGAAAGAAGAGTAACAGAAGCATCAGCATTGCGCTCTCATCAAAAAAGAATCCAGACTGGAGTCCTATTGGCCTCCAACTTGAAAGTTAATTAAAATCTGACCGGGGGGTGGGGGAATCCGATTGGGACCCTCAAGAATCCGATCGGAATTCGAATGGAATCCTCTTGGGATCCAATTGCAGTGCTGTTGGAAATCTGTTGGGGTCCTGCTGGGTTCTTCGGGTGCGGGGGCGGGATATCACTTCCAGGGGGTTAGAAACGATATTGTATAGTTTCGTCGAAAGGAAACGGGGCAATGACTGCTTCTCCAGGTTAAACTCAGGTCGGGCATGTCCCCCTACAGGCGGATCGCGGGGGAAAAGTTCAACAGCAGATTTTTGAACAAACGTCCTGCCTAATTTTGCATGATTTTTGAATAAAAATCCTGCAGGGCGACATGCCCGACTTAAGACCAAACGCCAGGCTGCAGCATCGCCTTCCGAACCTCGGCGACCATCGACGGAGCCCGCCGCCGCTGCCCAACACGCTTGCACGCGCTGACGCCGGCGGTGTAGCCGATCCGCCACCGCGCTTGCACCGGCGGGCGTCCCTCCAAAATCCTCTGCGATTGCCTTGAGATCTTCGCGCTGCGTGCTTGTTCGAGCTGACAAACGTTGACGGCAATAACACCTACGGTACCATTTTGCTCTTCTCCAGTACTTCGCCACCGGGCTCCTGCCGAAGGCGTCCCTTTACAAGAACTTCGGCTTCGGCACCGCCTGTATCCGAGGATATGCCTCGTCTCGGCCTCGCTCTGAGGCTCCGCCACTTCCTCCCTCCTCTCCGCTGCCTAATTCAAGCTTCGCGCGGCCCTCTTAGGTTCGACCGGAAGAAGTGCGCTGTCGACCCGCGGATCAAGCATGTTTGTTCGAGCTGGGCGTTTGCGCCCGGGGTCTCGGGCCTCGGGGCCACTGCAGATCGATCCGCCTCGAGGAATGGCCCGGTCATGATTGTTTGCGATGCTGATTTTCCGCAACGTCGGATCTCACAGCCCTCCCTAATCTATCCGCCGCCTGCACTCCTACTCCCTCCTCCCTAGACCCCCTTCGAATCTTGAGAAACACGACGGGGGGTTTGTTGCTATGTTCGTCTGGGAGCCCTCGCCAGGCCCGGGGTCCGTCGACAAAACGACTCGGGATGAAAAACCGCCCAGGGAAGTGGTCTGAACCCCCAGGGGTGCAATATCGAACAAAAATTGACGTCGGGGGTCTGGGTCCACCCCCTCTTCCGTCTAGTCCCTTCCTTCCCTCCTGCCTCCCCCTCTTCCCTGGTGCTCGCTTCTTCCCCCCCTCCCCTCCCTGGTGCTCGCTTCTTCCCTGCTGCTCGCTTCTTCCCCACGTGGCGGCCGCGGCGGCGGCGGCGACGGCGGCCGCGGCGGCGGCGGCGGCGTCATCGTAGTAGTAGTAGCAGTAGCAGTAGTAGTAGTAGTAGTAGTAGTAGTAGTAGTAGTAGTAGTAGTAGTAGTAGTAGTAGTAGTAGTAGTAGTAGTAGTAGTAGTAGTAGTAGTAGTAGTAGTAGTAGTAGTAGTAGTAGTAGTAGTAGTAGTAGTAGTAGTAGTAGTAGTAGTAGTAGTAGTAGTAGTAGTAGTAGTAGTAGTAGTAGTAGTAGTAGTAGTAGTAGTAGTAGTAGTAGTAGTAGTAGTAGTAGTAGTAGTAGTAGTAGTAGTAGTAGTAGTAGTAGTAGTAGTAGTAGTAGGTAGTCGTAGTAGTAGTAGTAGTAGTAGTAGTAGTAGTAGTAGTAGTAGTAGTAGTAGTAGTAGTAGTAGTAGTAGTAGTAGTGTAAGTAGTAGTAGTAGTAGTAGTAGTAGTAGTAGTAGTAGTAGTAGTAGTAGTAGTAGTAGTAGTAGTAGTAGTAGTAGTAGTAGTAGTAGTAGTCGTAGGCGTGGTAGTAGCAGTAGTAATAATAAATGAAGTAGTAGTAGTAGTCGTAGTCGCAGTCGTAGTAGTAGTGGTGGTGGTGGTGGTAGCAGTAGTCGTAGTAGCAGCAGCAGCAGCAGCAGCAGTAGTAGTAGCAGTGGTAGTAGTAGTAGTAGTCGTAGTAGTAGTAGTAGTAGTAGTAGTAGTAGTAGTAGTAGTAGTAGTGGTACGAGTAGTAAGAGGGGGGGTAGTCGTAGTGGCAGGTGTAGCAATATTACTGTTACTAGCAATGTTTGTAATCGCAATACTCTTAGTAATAGCAGTAGAAAAAGCAGTAGTGGTTTCCGTAGTCGTAGTCGTAGTAATAATCGTAGCCGTAGTAGTAGCAGTAGTAGCAGTAGTAGTAGTAGTAGTAGTAGTAGTAGTAGTAGAGATCTAGTCGCAGTAGTAGTAGTAGCTGTAGTACTAGTGGTAGTGGTAGAGGTAACAATAAAAGGAAATATAAACACCGACATTGGAAGTAGAACAAGGATAGCAGCAGTAACAGTAGTAGTGGTCATAGCAGCAGCAGTAGTGGTTGTAACAGTAGTAGTAGTAGTAGTAGTAGTAGTAGGAGGAGTAGTAGCAGTAGCAGTGGTGACAGCAGTAGTTGGAATAGCAGTAGTAACGCTGGAAGTAATAAAAAATAAAATGCGTAATACTAACGATAGTAGGCGCAGTAGTCGCAGTCGTAGTCGTACTCGTAGTCGTTGTAGTAGTAATAGTACCAGTAGTAGTAGTCGTAGTCGTAGTAGTAGTAGTAGTAGTAGTAGTAGCAGTAGTAGTTGTAGTAGTAGTAGTAATAGTAGTAGTAGTAGTAGTAGTAGTAGTAGTAGTAGTAGTAGTAACACTAGTAACAGTAGTAGTAGCAGTAGTCGTATTCTTATGGGTAATCGTAGTCGCAGTAGTAAGGGTAGTGGTAGCACTGGTAATAATGTTATTTGTATTAGCAGTAGCAGTAGTAGTAGTAGTAGCAGCAGTAGTAGAAGTAGCCGTCGTCGTAGTGATCGTAGATTCGTGGCAGAAGTGGGAGTAGTGGGGGTAGTAATAATAATAGCCGTCGTCGTCGTAGTAGGAGTAGTAGTAGTAATAGTAGTAGTAGAGGTAGCAGTAGAAATAGCAGTAGTAGTCGTAGTAATAGTAGTAGTGGTAGTAGTAGCAGTAGTACTATTACTAGTAGTAATCGAACTTGTAGTGGTAGTTGTGATCGTCATGATCGTCCTCGTGGTCGTCGTCGTCGTGATCATCATTATCGTCCTCGTGGTCATCGTGGTGGCGGTCGTCGGCGTTTCGGGTTTGTCTTCAATCTTCTGCAAGTTCTCGCCGCAACGGCTGGGCACCGCTCGGAAAACCGGCCAGGACGGGGTCTCGGGACCTCTGCTCAGCGGATTATGATGACGACGGCGACGACGACGACGACGACCACCACGACGACAACGGCCGCAGCGCCAGCTGCGACGACGACGAGGACGAACACCACCGCCACTACTCGGCGGCGCGCACGGTGGGGAAGCCCAAAGGGGCAAGCCTTCTTAGAAGGCGGCGGGGCTTATCACAACCCCTTCTGGGCTTCTGAGAAGCCGTCTCTCTCTTTCTCTCTCTCTCTCTCTCTCACTCTCTCTCTCTCTCTCTCTCTCCCAAGAAGATTCAGAAAACTTCTCAGCGCGAGGCCTTCCGAGCCTTCTAAGAAGGCTCGCCCCCTCTCACTTCCCCCCCGGCCTCGCCGCCGAACGACGACCGCGACAAACGACGGCCACCACGACGCGACGACGACCCCATTCTCCAGGCCTCGCGAAAAATCATGAGAGCGCATGCGTTCCTCTGAACTTCGGCGTCTGCATGGGGCTGTTTTCGGGCCGCAGGACCGTCCGGGCGCTGCCGCGGCGCGCGTGCGCGGGGCGGAGGTGCGCTCCGCTGCTCAGCTGCTCCCCCCCCGCCCGCCCGCGCGCTCCACAGGCCAACGTTCGGGGGTGAAAAAACCCGGGGTTGAAAAAACCCGCGGGGGTGAGAAAAAAAACTGGGGGTGAAAAAACACCCGGGTTCTTTTTCACCCCCAGGTTTTTTCACCCCCGGGTTTGTTTTCACCCCCGATTTGTTTGGCCTGTGGAGCTCTTTTCTTGACCTTGCGCGTTGGGGTTTTGGCCCTGCGCGTGGTCTCTCCCCGTCGCACAGCGACCCGTTCCGGGCGACGGGGTCGAGAGCTCCAGGAGCACACACTGTGAAGCGTCACGGCGTCAGAGGTTGGGTGATGGCGCCAGTGTCGGCTGCGATGGACAGGGGGGTGGGGGGATGAGGGAGGAAGGAGGAGAGGGGAGGAGGAGGAGGAGGAGGAAAGATGTGCGAGGCCATTCAGCGCTGCAGAGCAGTGACTGCAGCACAGCGGCTGAGTGCAATTCGCTGAGCAAGAACAGAGCCTGTCGCCACTGCCCCTGATTCTCACACGCGATTACCCCAGCGTTGTAGTTGGGAACATCTGGCTCCAATTCCTTGTCGCGCATCTCGCCGAGCAGCGACAGAGCCTGCTGCCACTGCCCGCCACACTTGCACGCAACCATGACGTTCCAGTAGCAGATGGTATCGGGCATCAGCATATGGTCACACATCTCTCTGAGCGACGAAAGTGCCCGCTGCCACTGCTGGGCTTTCCCGCACACGCTGAGCCAAGAGTGGTAGCAGATCGCATCGGGCTCCAAGTTCTCCTCCACCATCTCGTGGAACAGCAACAACGCCTGCGGCCATAACCTGCAGGAACCAGAATGTACCAATACCAATCCTCGCCAGACCTCTACCAAGATGCGTTCTGATCAGAACTTCGAGGCGAACCCAGTCGTGGCGACTAAAGTCTCCCAGGAGGCCCAACACAGGCGAAACGAGGCAAGGGTAGCGGTATCGGTACCTTTCTCCTCCTCTGATAACCACTGCCCAGCTTCTGCGCACGCATTCATCCCAGCACTGTAAGTGTACACCTCAGGCTGCAGTTCCGCCTTCCGAATCTCGGCGAGCAACGACAGAGCCCGCCGCCACTGCCTGTCATACTGGCACGCGCTGACCCCAGCGGTGTAGCTGGTCCGCCACCGCGCTTGCATCGGCGGGCGTCCCTCCGTAGCCCTTGCGATTAGCGCAGCTACTTGCGAAGCAATCGTCGGGGCACCCGCGAGATGGACGCCAAGAGACCCGTCTTCCTGTGACACGTCTCAGCGCCATCTGCTGCGGTCCGAGGCGCTTGGCCTGTCCGAGGCGGCAGGCGAATTAGAGGCCTCCTTGATGGCTTCGGAGTAGATGGGGTCGGGGGATCACGCCGCATCGCCGATACATCGGCGATGCATCGGCGATGCATCGCCGACGCTGGCGATGCATCGGCGGCGTGGGCGTTAAGGAAATCGGGCTCCACATCGAGCCGCATCGGCGATGCATCGGCGATGCGGCGCGATCCTCCGACCCCATCCGCTCCGACCCCATGCAGGAGGCCTGGACGCATGGACTGCCCCCTCCACACCGCAAGCCATAAAGCCCGCCCTCGGACGGACCACGACCCGCACAGGACGGCCCCAGGACGGCCCAAGACCGGCCTGCGGCCGCCTCCCGACCCCACCCAGCGAGACGGCCGCAGAGCTGCCCCAGCGGATGACCCCGAGAGTTCCCCCAATGGCGCCACGCCCACCCGAAGAGGGCCCGACGAAAACGGACTGGACACCGGCCTCCAGAGGACCTCCCAGGAACCCGCCCTCAGAAGGCCCCTGAGATGCAAGGAACTGGAGACGATTGCTCTCTCCAAAATCTCTGGCGCACCGCCTTGGAAGGCCCAGGACGACATTCAGCAGTCCTCTGGACTGCCTTCGGGCCCCAGACAGCTCCCCAGACGGCTGCGGGAGGCTCCGTCCCTGAGGCGGCCCCCAGGTGGCCCAGGGCAAGCATGAAAAGGCGTACTCCCCAAACGCCCCCCGAATAGCCCCCAAGGCGCCCGAAAGGCGGCCGCAGACGGCCCCGAGATGTCGTATGGCGGCTCAACCGTGCCACTCTGCAGCACGGGCGGCTGCTCAGCTACCCCGCAGCGCGGTGGCGGGTGGTGCGGCAGCGCAGCTGGATAGATGGCGCTGGGCTTCAGCATCACCTGCCCCATCTCACTGAGCAGCGACACGGCCTGCTCCCAATGCCCAGCCTTCTCGCACGCGCGCACTCCGGCGGTGTAGCTGACCAGCGTGTGCCCGTGGATTTCCCACAAGCGGCCCCAGCGAAGCGCCCCAACAGCAGGATACAACTGGACCAGTCCAGATCTCGTACGATTCCACGATCGGGGTCACTTTGGGTATCATGTTGGGCGTGAGGACCCTGTGCCTCTGCCACACTCTCTTGAAGCGGGAGACCTGGACAAATGAGAGCCCAGTGAGCCTGCCACGCTCTGACAACCTGGGAGACCTGGAATCGTGAGAAAACCATACCCCTGCCACACTCCGAACCTGGGAGACTTGGAACCGTGAAAACGTAGCAACACAGACTGGACAGGAGGAATCGCGATGGTGAGAACCTGGCCCCACTGCCACAGTTCTTGGACCTGGGAGTCTGGAATGGTGAGACCCCAGCGTCACTGCGGGCACACATGCAGTCCACCTGGAACGGGTCAGGAGGCACCATTGATTGGACCACTCCTCTTCCTTCTCCTCCTCCTCCTCCTTCTCCTCCTCCGCCTCCTCCTCCTCCTTCTCCTCGCCCTGCTGCTCATCACCATCACCATCAGCATAATCATTGTCTCTCCCGCCTCATTATTCTCCTCATTCTCCCTCCTCCTGCTCCTCCTCCTCCTCCTCAAATTCACAGAGAAACTCATCCTTCTTATACTGGAGAGGCTCTACGTCATCACCGCACCCCCTTCTCCTCCTCCTCCTCCTCCTCCTCCTCCTCCTCCTGCCTTCCATCCTCCGTGCTGCCTCGTGAAACCTTCGCCTCATGCCTCTGGCCTTGATCATCTTTCCTCTGCCTCGTACCTCCTGCTCATCCTCATATTCCGAAGGAGAACCTGACTTGCAAACCTCATCATCATCATCAACAACAGCATCAACAACAGCAGCCTCAGCATCATCATGAACATCATCGTAATCCCCATCACCACCACTACCATCATCATCATCATCAGCATCATCCTCACCATCAGCAGCATCATCATCGTCATCGGCTGCAGCAGCAGCATCACTATCATCAACATCAGCCGTATTCTGATGACCATCTCCAACATAATCACCAACACCATCAGTATCATCAGCAACATCGACGTCATCCTCATCCGCATCTGCATCTGCATCATCATCAGCATCACCATCATCAGCATCAGCATCATCAGCATCACCATCATCACCGTAATTGTCATCAGCAGCAGCACAAACATCAGCAACAGCACCATCATCAAACTCGGAATCAGCATCAGCATCACCACAACCTGTATCAGCATCATCAGCATCAGCATCACCATCTCCATCATCATCAGCAGCATCATCATCAACAGCATCAACATTACCATCATGATTGTCATCGTTATCGCCATTACCATCAGCAGCATCAGCACCAGCACCAGCATCATCATCATCATCATCATCATCATCATCAGCATCATCATCATCATCATCATCACCATCGTATTCGTCGAAGGCAGCCGAGGCTCAGGCCATCGAAGGAGCAGCGGCCTCCAGCCACCGCCCTCCTGCCTAGCCCGAAAGGCAGGGGGCCACGCAGACGACGCCCCGCACAACGCCATGCCGCCCAGGTTGTGCTCCAGAGCGCGGGAACCGCGCACCTGCTGAGCACGCAGGACTCGCTCGCTGACATCATGAATATGGACGAACGCATGGAAAGAGCACCTGACCACCAGCCAGACAATGATGCCGACGCTGCAGTACGGGACCGATATCCCCCACTACACGCACGAGTCCCAAGCTGCAGCTCGACCCCAGCATCACCACCACCTCAACACCCAGCACGCGAAGAACCACTGTACGCTGAGCAACAAGTTCAACATCACCGCGAACACAGAGGACCAGCACATGCAGGATGACATCATGCGGACCCCGAATTGCTAGACGCTGAGCATCAATTTCAACATCAGCACGGACATAGAGGGCCAGCACGTGCAAGACTACACCACGCTGACCCTGAATTGCCACCAGCGGAACAATTGCATGCAGACCTTGAATTGCCACCTGTACTTGAGTTTCGACATGAACGGGACCCTGGCGACGAACGACCTGATCATCAATTTCCAGCCCGCTGCCCTGACCCCGACGTACGCCCGCATTACGCCACGACGAAGGCCATCACGATACTTGGATGGAACCCGTTCTCGCTTAAGGGCGTCCCAGGGCGGCTCGACCACATCTCCGACACATGCCGTGCGATTCAGATTATGATGCACGTAGGCACCAAGATACGACAACGCCCCACCGACGCCCCGCACCATCTCGAGGACAGCCTCCACCACACTTGGGCCCACTTCGGCTGGGGCCGGGGGGCCCACGCAAACAGCTCGGCAGGATGCGGCATCGCAGCATCCAAGCGCCATTTCCGCAAGATAGATATCGTCAAAATACCGCACCCCCTACAACCCGACCTGCGGGGCCGCGCAGGCGCCGTCGAGCTGCGCCGAGGCCAGCTTCGTCTTCGACTCATTGCTGCGCATTTCCCACCACGGCCGGAAAGAGCAGGTCAACAAAAACACTGGAAAACAAGGTGCCGACGACTATGGAGCTGGGTACTGCAGACACTTACCGCCACTCCCGCTCGCGTCACGCCTATCTTGTTCACGGGCCTCAACCAAGGCCTAGGACGACGATCACGACATCTGTGCACCGACAACGCGATCGGCAGATACCACGCCAGCGACGAGACCGAGTTCGGACGCTTCATTCACGACCAGCTCTTGACGCACCAACTGACGGCCATCAACACGCACGTCGATGTCGGAAACACCTACTACGGACCCAACAAGGCAAGATCACGCATCGACTACTTCATCGGCTACGACAACCTTATGGAGATAGTGAAATATGCTAAGCTGAACTGGAAGATCCACGCCAAGCTACGTAGCCTACTACACGTTGCCGACCACGTCCCCATGATTATGCAGATCAAGACGCCTATCAGCAGCGTCAATATCACGAATAACAGCATTCGATGGGACTTCGGCCTCCTCGCTGCTGGGCTCCAGACGGGCGCCCATCGCGTTTCTTTTCTCAATGACGTCTACGCCGAGATCGGCAAACACAAGGAGGTCCTTCGAGTCGTCAAGAGAGATCAGTTTCCGACCCGACACAACGCCATAATCGCTCACCTCATTCGCGAATGCGGCCGTAAGTATTACATAAAGGAAGGAGGACAACCACAATGGTACCAACAAGCGCGACTTGAACGACTCCTACTGCTTAAAGAACGTGCTGACTGTCGAGCCCGACGACTGCCCTTCAATCATGCAACCCTACGCGAGATCCAAAGACGCTTACGAGCACACCAACGATGGATGGATCACTGGTGGAAAGTCAGCCTCGACCAGGACATGCGCGACGCGTGGGCCACTCGCGACCTCTCTCGAGTTGCATATCTCACGTACATCCGAGCGGGACGACGAACAGGACCACGACGACGATCCTACCTTTCACTGCCATCCACGCGTCCCACTGCAGCCGAATACGCCGACGCCCTTACCCAGCCAGCTGTCCAGGGGGGGCTTTCTGCCACGCCCGCCTACGTCAGCATGTATATCGACGACCCGACAGCTATTCCACGATTAGTGGCCCAACCGAGCGACATTCAACCAGTGGGGGAGCACATCGGCGCCCCTGAGCTCCACGACATTGAGACGGCAGCGGAAGAGCCCGTCCATCTGCAGAAACGGCTGTGGAGGGAGAAACGGAGGCGCTACAACCCACCATGGGCATGGCCCATCGAATTCACCATCATGCTCCTCGCCCCACAATATCTGACGCGCCCTGGCGTTCAACGGGCAGGGATGGGACGCGACGCGCCGACTATCAATGCGCGGACCCGCTCGCGGAGCAGGTCCGCCAACCTAGTCGAAGGAAGCTCGTGATCGACTACGACGCCAGCTCCACCATCATCCAGACTTTCGTCGCATTACTCGCTCATGTCCACCGATGTGGCTCTCTGCCTGCCCAGGCGTTCACCAGCCAGGCGGTCGCCATTGGAAAGAAAGGAAAAAGCCCTACTGGCAACGTGATTCAGGACATCCATGCATGCGTACGTTTACTTCGCTGTTTCGACCATTTTTGGCGATTATATATCAGAATAGGACTCATACAATATGGAACCCAATTCGACCCACCGCCGTGGGCTTATGGAGGCATTCATTCCCGCCAACGCGAATCACTCATGCTCATTGCTAAACTATTGATATGGAAGATGAGATCCGCCAGAATGTCTTGTCTCGCTAAGTCGCACGACATGCGGAATGCATTCGCGACAGGCTCCCACGAGCGACTGGTTGCCGCCCACACACTCCGATGCGAAGATGAGCATTGTCATCCCCTCCTTGAGCAGCACCGACACGAGGCAGTAGTATTTCTGCAGGCGTCCGACGCTAGCATAGCTCTTCGACCAGGGACGGGATGGAGGATGGGCGACTCAAACGAGCCTGAAGCTTTCATGGAATCATTTTATCCACTAGTGAAGCAGTGGCCCCAGGAGATGGCACAGGTCCAGGGAAACCCGTTCCAGGTACACTACCCGTTTACTGGTGAAGAGTTTGATGCGCATCTTGGGGCCTTCATTGACGATCTAGTCAAGATCCTCTTGGTGCTTGACGGCGCGGCCCTCCAGGCGCTGCAGATTGACAAGGTCGACAACAACGCGCTCACCCAGGCCCTCGAGGCTGGCGGCTACGCACAGAACATCAGTAAGCAAGACACCCTGGTCTCACTGGGCACCCATGGGGCTACGAAGGAGGCCGAACGGAATATTTCTGGGAACGCAGTCCAGGACTTGATTCATCTCGGAGGATATGTACATGCTGCCAACAGCAATCGTCGTGAAGTCGAGGCCCGCATACAATCAGGTAAAATAGGGTGGAGCCGCCTGGGCGGCGACTGGTACTCTGGAGGCCATTGGAAGGCCAAACGGCTCGCGTTCGTGTCCAACGTCGCGGGGAGGGTGTGGTCTGGCCTCGAAAGCTACGTGTTGTCCCCTAGAGAGCTCCACAGACTCGACAGTTCGTTGGCTCGCAAACTACGATCAATGATGAGAGGAGCAGCACATCAGGAGGATGAGCACAACAATCATCGGCCTATGTCTACCCGCCAAGTGTTTATTGAATGGCAAGTTGCACCGACTGCCATCGAGCTACTCGTGCGCAAGCTCAGCTGGGGGCAGAGCATAATCCGATCGCACACGCATCATGGCAACTTTCTCGCTTCTTTTTTTGGAAGATGCAAGTTCGAGCAGCAGGCGGCCATAAGCAACCGCCCCGTCAGCGCTGGAACCCTCAATTCGCAGGGTGGGATCTCCGCAGACCCGAACGTGCATCCGTGGGCCACACAGCTCGCGGACGATCTGCTGTGCCTCTCGTCCCACACGATCGGCGAAAGCGTTCAGGAAGCGTGGCAGCCTCGTATTGTAAAAAACCTGTGGGGTGACGAGTGGGTTCGAGAGGCCTTCTTAAACTGTGACGTTCGGGCTCTCAGGGCTTCTTACTGGACGGCCAAGTGGGCCCCCCCCCCCGGGGCCAGCGAGATCACCTCCTCTCTCCCCGCGGCGGCAACATACGACGAGACGGACACTGACGACGAGACGAACCGCCCCTTCGTGTGCAACATCGAGTCATGCCAGAAACGGTTCGGGACGCTCAAACAGCTCGTCACACACCAAACTAAAGCTAAGAGCCTAGGCCACGGTATGCCAGCGGTATTGACTACCCTACAGATCGACAACACATGTATGGTGTGCCAAACTGCGTATCCAAATCAAGATCATGCAGTTAGAAACCTACGACGAGCATGGCAAGCAGGCAGATACATTCCAGAACTTACTCATCATGTATATCCCTGGATACCAGCCACATGTACTACATGCCCTCTACGGGACTACGCTCTGGATCATGCATGCCAACAGGAATATCATGACCAGCAAAAACTTCGAGCTCACGTCCTGGGACATGTCCCACCGTCGCCATCTGGTTCCATGCTCAAGCCTGTCGTCAGAAGGCTTACCGCGCGCTCGGCCACTCCGAGTGCTCCCCCGCCGCGCCCCGCGCCATCCAGCTGCCGCCCATCGCCTGCCATAGAGGACACCCCTGCGGTACGCGCTGCCATTCGCCAGTCGGTGGAACGCATCGTGGGCAGCGACCCTCGCAGCAGACCCAGACGCCGACCACTTCGACGGCTACGAGAGGCACAGCGCCCAGCAGCAGCAGATGCAACATCTACGCGGCCAATACGCGTGGCTACTGTCTCCTCTACGCCTACTCGTCCTGCACTTCCTCATGGACCAGGCGATGAAGCCCAGGCCGAGAGCGCCGTGGCGACTCCCGCTGGACTCCTCCCTGGGCTCGAAGGGCTCTGGCACCGCCTCCAGCGCCGCGCCAGGCCAGAAGGCGACAAAGGCCTCACGTCCGACAGGCCCGCCGCCGCCGTCGCAGAGGCGATCCCGATCGCCACGAACGCCCAACAAGGTGGACGAGGGAGACATCGGCGAGGACAAGAAGCTGCCGCTCCAGACGAAGCACGAGACCAGGCTGAAGCACAGCATCAGCACGGACATATACACGATGAGCAACGAGCACCCAGTGATCACAGCCATCACGCAGGAGCTCGAGGGCTACAAGCACACCCTGGACTCCCTCAAAAAGAGCGGCACCCTAGAGGACAAGAAACGCATGCAGGAGATAGGGCCGCCAGCTCCTGCCCTCGCGCTGGCGGCCTTGGAAGGACTGCACAAGTGCGACGTGGGCGGCACTATGAAGAAAGCCATTCGGAACTACCTGCTCCGAGCGGACCCAGAGGATATCGAGGCGGAGGCGGAGATCAGCAAGGAAGATCTCCTCGACGTCATCTCCATTGTGCGTCTGGAGAAGTGCCACGACGACACCAAGACGAAGCTGGTGATCGGCGCGCCCACGTGGGAGGGCCGAGACCTGATCAACCGCGCTCTCGCGGCCGAGGGCCAGGCGGTCCACCACAGGGGCGTGGCCGAGGGACACGCGGACTGGCTCGAGGAGGAGGTAGTCCACGGGACGAAGACGCCCGAGTAGTGAACCCGCTCCTTTGCCAGAGCGCGCCTGCATGGCACAATGCAAACACAAACGGAGAGGACACAATCCAGCGCCGTGTTATTTTTGTCCGAGGCGAAGCCCTCCCTGCTAGCAGTAGCACGGTCAAGGTCACGTACCCTCCCGCCTCCGACGTGCCTCCACCTCTCCCCACTGCCGTGCCTGCACAAGCAGAGGAGCTACGTGAGGTGGAGGCCCCACCTGAGTTCGATACAATCGCCGAGGATGAAGCGGCCGAATACCTTTTCAGCTAGCATCGGAGACGTTGCTTGGCACGCGCAGCGCAGGAAGCCCCTCTGCGCAGCACCCTGGCAGCGTGGCCCACGCGGGGCAGTACGAGACAGTTGGCTCTCTGCGACGGATCATTAAGTATGGATTCACTGTACGCCACATCTTACCATCAGATGTTGGTCCTGACGTCGAGGAAAAATCGTATTCGTCGTCATCACCACCATCGAAATATTCTGATCCGGCATCATAAGCAGCACCATTACCAACACATCAGCACCAGTATCAAAACCTACATCACTTCCACCATTACCACCACCACTACCACCTTCATCATTATCAGCATCATCAGCAGCAACAGCAACATCATCAGCATCGTCATCATAATCACCAGCATCAGCATCATCATCGTGATCACGGTCATCGTAACCATCATTATCCTCATTCTCATCCTCATCGTACCAGAGAAGCTGCCCCCCCTCATCCTTCTTCTCCTGTTCCTGCTCCTCCTCCTCCTCCTCCTCCTTGTTCACCCCCTACTGCGGAGGTTTTCGGCAGGAGCCTCCCCAGACGACCTCGAGGGAAGAGGGAGGGGCAGAAAGAAGGGAGGTCACGAGGTGGAAGGGAGGGGGCAGGAGGGAGGCAGCAGTGATGGGGGTCAAACTAGTACAGACGATGTTGGGCTCCATCTGCACCTCCCGGATCTCCCCGAACAGCTGCAAAGCCTGCTGCCACTGCCCGCTTTTCTCGCACGCGCTGATCGCGGCGCTGTAGCTAACTAGCGCTGCCCCGTGGCCTCCGCCCACGTCAACCAGCGTGTCCAGCGTGTGCATGTGATTGATTGCTTGTTTAGACTGGTTGCCACTAGTGCTGCTTGCGAGATACTTGCCAACTCGGTTGGGCGTGCGGTTTTCTTGATGAGCGTTTGCTTGCTAGCTGGTTTGCTTGCTGCGTGCGTGTTTGCTGCCTGGCTGGCTGGTTTGCTTGCTGCTTGCTGCTTGCTGCTTGCTGCTTGCTGCTTGCTGCTTGCTGCTTGCTGCTGCTGCTGCTGCGGCTTGCTGCTGCTTGATGCCATAACAGAAGTGGGGCTCTCCTGGAATCAAGCCTTCTTCGAGGGTTCTCAAACTACATTGGAGCTCAGCTTCGGGGGGTACTGGGAGCTGTCGGAGGGGGCGTCTTGGGACGCCCCGGGATGAGATCCAGCAGCCTTGAGGCCGTAGTGGGGCCAAGACTCAACATGAAAAAGCGCATGAGCGCCTTATTTCCCAACGATGTTTCATCGTGGCTGTGGCCGCCCAAGGAGGTCGGAGGAGGCGCAAAAGGGAGTGCGGAGAATGTCCCCAGGTGCCGGTGGATCCGGAACACCCACAAGGAGAACTCCCCCACGGGTCGCCCATTCAGACCGGAGCCGCTCCGAAGAATGGAAAACTTTTCATGGCGACGTACCCAACCCACGCGCACGAAGTGGCAAGAGGATCTGGTCCAGAATAATATGGCTGATGACAACACAGGATCTGCCACTGGTTGTGCAGGCTATTTGGGAAGCGCGCGATGCGCGACTCAGAGGACGGCAACAGAAGCACGAGGACTCAGGCCCCAAGTTCGAAGAGGAAGTGGGGGTGGGCACGAGGGGCAGGAGAAGGACGGAAGCAGGGCCGAAACGCTCACGCGACGGCAGCAGCGAGACGGTGGAGGGAGGAAGAGGACGACGACGAAAGAGGCAGACGAGGAAGGAAGGTGGCGATGATTTCCAGTGGCGTGCTGGACAGGCAGTGCGGCCCCGATCCATGTGGCTCTGGCGCCCCAAAACTGGCCATCGCTCGGACGTCCATTCCCTGTACTTGCTTCGGTTTCGTGCGTGGTTTTTTCGCCAAATAATCAAGGATGCTCCTCGATGGCCCTCGCCGAAAGAAAGATACACACGTCCGAGCGATGCCAAGAAAAGACCAGCAGCTCATAGCTAGTGTAAAAGAGGAAAGCGGGGCCGAGCACGCCCGCCAGCCTCTCCGCGTTCTCCATCTGGTCATCGCTCGGACGTCCATTCCCTGTGTTGTTGTTCGGCGTCGTGCGTGCTTTTTCGCCAAATGAGTAAGGATGCTCCTCAATGGTCCTCGCCGGAGGAAAAATGCACACGTCCGAGCGATGCCAAGTCCATCACCTGTCAGTGCCTGAGCTAACGCCCGCAGGCGCGCCACCAGGGCTTCGGGCGCACTCGAAAGTGGCGACAATCTCGCAGCTCGAAGCCCCCAGAGATGGCGAGGTCCAATATGAGTCTGCGGTTAAGACGTCACTCCGCTGTACCCCCCAGCAGCTCTCGAAAGTGTCAACAATTTCGCAGCTCGCAGCCACCCAGGGACGGCGAGGCCTAATCTGAGTCTGCGGTAAAGCGTCACTCTGCTAAACCCCCCAGCCACCCTCGGAAGTGGCCGTCGTTCCGCAGTTCGCAACAGCTTCCCAGTCCGCATCCCCCCAGGGACAGCGAGGTCGAATTTAAGACTGCGGAAAAAACGTCACTCAGCTGGACCCCCCAGCAGTCCTCGAAACGAGAGTGGCGACAGTCTCGCAGTTCGCAGCCACCAGGGATGGCGAGTTCTAATCCGAACCTGCGGCACAACGTCACTCCGCTAGACCTCCCAGCAGCCCCCCGCAGGGGTGGTGAGGTCCAACATGGGTCCGCGCAAGCTGTTGGCAAGTGCAGCCTGCCGGCCAAGGCCGGACTTGAGATGACGTGGTCCCTGGCCCGGAGGCAGGGCAAGAGAGAGAGAGAGCAACGAAGCCAGCGGGACGGGCCGAGAGGGAAGGAGAGAGGAGGAGCATGAGAAGCTCAACCCAGACGGCGGAGGAGTTGGGACGGCGGCGAACACCTCGTACACCAGTCAGCTATGAGTTGGGCTCCAAGAAAGAAGCCCGATTCATGCTGCAACACTGCCCATGGGCGTTTGGGGGCACTCCAGATCTACCAACTCAAGTACAGCATTGCAAATGCCATCGGCATCGGCATTGAACTCGCGGTACACGTGGCATACTTCCACTGCGTGCACAAAAACAACGGATCGCAGAGCCGCGAGCAGCTCCAACCCTCGCTCGTAGGCTGCGCGCAGATCTGCCGTTCGGCACCGCCACTGACAAGACAGCTGGCGCGCGACAAGCGGGGAGCCCAATTGGAACAACACTCGGCGCGCAGGGTTCTGAGGCAGGTGACGAATGGCAGAGTGGAGCCCAGAACACTCCGCCGAATTGTTCGTGGCGTCAGCCGAGAGCTCCCTGCATGAGGCGACGACGCGGCACGTTCCGTCGAAGCGAGAGGCAGGCTGGCAGGCAGGAGGCGGGAGGAGAAGGTCGCGACCGCAGTGCTCTACTCAAAATGAGGACACAACGCAGGAGGGCTGGGAATAAGGAAGCGCACGGGAGCCTTCTTGGACGGCCAGGGCGGTTCCAGAGCTCTCTAAGGGATCCTCCCTCCGAAGCCTCTTGGAGGCGGCTTTGGGGGATGTCTTGGAGCCTCTCGGGGGGCCTGAGAGCCTCTTGGGGCCTGAGTTAGCCCTCCTGGGGGCCGTCTGGGGCTTCTGAGGGGCCCATTGAGGGCCAGCTGGCGGTGTCGGGCGGCATCGTGGCCAGAGGACGCGACAGGTCAGTTCGAGTGCCTCCTCTTGCGGCCCTCTGTGGTCGTGGTCGTAGTGGGAGCATCTTGGGCCGTCTGGAGCCCTCTTGGGCCGTCCGATGGCCCTCTTGGGAGCCTCTTGGGCAAGCTTAGGGCCATCTCTGGAGCCATCTTTAGAGCCTCTTGGGCCGTCTTGGAGCGTCGGAAGACCGAAAAGGCGAGAACGCAAACATCCCTCAAATACCTCAAGAAGATCAATGATGGTGGCCTCTCGGGGCCCTTGGGGGGGCCTCTTGAAGCCATGTCCCTGGGCCGTGTTGGGCCGTCTGAAGGCCATGTTGATGACCTCCTGGACCGTCTGGAGGTGTCTCGAACCAGCTTGGACCCCCTTGGGGCCCTCTTGAGCCGTCTTGGAGCTCTCCAGGGGGGCTCTTGGAGCGCGCTGGGGCTGGCCTGGCCGATTTGGGATTCTTGTTGATCCGATTTCCTTCCGGTGCTCGGCTCCCCCAGCCTTGTACAGTCAACCCGTATAGTAAGGACGCCCTGTAAGTAGGGAACCGAAGTCTGTACACCGATGGTTATTCGGGCTCTGCACTGAAATTTGCACAGGAAAGCGGATCCTGGTGGGATCCTGATGTAAACAGTCTTCGTTGTTTCCCCCGGAAAACAAGGGAAAAAATATAAACCACACTATCCCGACATCGTCCCCGACCCTCAAAACATCCTGGGATTGAAAAACAGCCCGCCACTGGTAATGTATACGTTCCAGTTTCCGACATTTAAACGTTATTCGAACGAGTTTGGCCAGCGAGATTCGCTGAGGATGGGACGAAGGGTCAAGGATGCAAGGGTAGCCTTGGAAGGCCCCTCGTCTTGACTATGCGGGTTGACTGTAGCATAGATGACGTTAGGCTGCGTCTCTGCCTCCCGCATCTCGCTGAGCAACGAAAGGCCCTGCTGCCACTGGCCGCCTTTCACGCACGCGCTGACCCCAGAGTTGTAGCAGACTAACGCGAGCAGGCAGGATACTATTGACGATTGGCACGGATTCGCGATGTGTTCTCATGGTGCACGCGACCGTGGAGTGAATGATCGGTTTGTCGCTGTCCCATAGGAAATTGATTAATCGCAGACTCGTCCGCATGCTCGCCTTGAGATTTGTAACGTGTGGCGCCACAGCTGCATCACTGAACGTCGTAGGCTGCCGCACGCTGGGAAGCAGGAGTCGTCAGCTAGTAGCGATGATCGGACATCACATCGCACACCTCGCTCAACAACGACGGCGCCTGACGCTACTTCCTTCCCTCCTCGCACCCGCTGGCCTCTGGCGTTCTAACTGACCAGGGAGAAGCAGTGAGCAATATCCAGCGCAGATGAAGTCATCGAGCTTTTCTGGGATCGTGCGCTTCCTCTCTGGAGCCATGCTGGGCTCCACAGGGCGGGCCAGGAACACTCAAGAAGCCTCTTCGAGCTATGATGTTTCCTTAGTGGCCTCCAGTGGGGCCTCTTCGCGGCGTCGTGGGGGCCCATGGGGCCCCGCGGGGCCGTTCTGAGAGCGTTGGGGCCGCCTGGGAGCGTCGTGGGGCCGAGTCTTGGGCCCTGCTGGAGCCGTCTGACGCCGTCTTGGAGGCCAGCCGGGGCAATCTTGAGCAATCTTTAGGGCAGTCTCGGGCCCTCTGGAGGACGCTTGCGGGCCTCTTGGACACCCTTAGAGGCATCGATCGGCGGCGAGCGAGGGGGGGAAGTGAGAAGGAGAAGGCCTTCTCAGAAGGCGGCGGGACTTCTCAGAAGCCTTCGCGCCTTCTGAGAAGTTTGTTCTGTCTTCGGGGAAGGCTCACAAAACTTCTCAGAAGGCCAGGGGACCTCCGAGCCTTCTCAGAAGGCCCGCCCCTTCTCACTTCCCCCTCGGGCGCGCCGCCGAATCTAGGACCCTTCTTGGACCCGTCTGTTACCAGCCTGGAACATATCCCTATCCCTATGCTGGGCATCTCCTCATCACGATGCCAATATTAGGGATTCCCTTTTTTTTGAGGGCGCATCCCTAAGATTGTCATCGCTTGTTGGCCTGTCAATCTTAGGGATAGGGATAAGTTCGAGGCTGGTAGGTCTGAAGCCAGAAATCTGAGAGCAGCAAGTCCTCATGCTCTCTGGCCTCACGGATTTGGCTTTGTCAGCCTCTGGGGGGGCCTGCGCAGACCGAGGTTGGAGCCAGCTACCTTGGTGCCATCTTGGAGCGCATGGGCAGTCAGGGGGGTTGTGTGGTCGTCGTGGGCGCCTCCTGAGAGTTCTCTGGGGCCGCATGGCTTCGCTGGGCCGCCTGGGGACGTCTTGGGGTCTCCCAGGGCGTGTCGGGGCCCGCCAGGGAAGCTTTGACATATTTGAACCTGGCGCACTCCTTGCATGCACTGCGCCTGGCATTGTAGGATGAGACTTGATCGGGCTCCAACTTGTTGTCCGACATGTGTTTCAACAACCCCACCGCCTGCTGCCACTGCCCGCTATCCGAGCACGCGCCAATCGCAGCAATGTAGCTGATGACGTCAAGCTCTAAGTTCACCTCACACATCTCGCTGAGCAGCCGCAGGGACCGCTGCCATTGCCCGCATCTCTGGCACGCGCCGATCCCAGCGTTGTAGCTAACGAGCTTACGGGATCAAGTGCTCCCCTCGCCATGTTCTGCATGCTAGCTTGCGCTATGATGTGAAGTGCTGCTTTACGGCATGATGAGATACAGCATGGTGGGCAGTGCACTACTCATCCTCCTTCTCCTCCTCGTCCTCCTTCTCCTACCCACCTACGTCCTCCACCTGCTCCGCCTGGAGGGGCGGGAACACAATTCCTCGCACGCGCTTGGGCGACCCTTGCGTCCCACGTCGCACCGACCCGCTGGAACTGAGCCTCACGCCTCCTTCGGCAACGACAGCGCGTGCCTCCATCGCCCGCCCTGCTCGCACACGTCGACCGACCCGCAGGCGCACTCCTCGCGCGCACGCCCCTCACAGTCGGGCCGGGCGAAAGGGGGGGATAGCAAAGGGGCAGTTTGAGAATCAGCTCATGTAGCTGATATTCCCGGCGCCTCCCGGCGCCGGGAAGCGCCCATGTATCGAGGATGGGCCCGGCGGCGGGGCCGAAACCAGCTGCATGCCACAGAGTTCGTAACCCCCCCTTTCCCTCTCACTCCCTTTCGTTCGGCCTCTCAAAGGTGGACAGCAGATGCTGCCCCCCCCCCCACCTCGGGCGAGGGCGGCGCCGGAGGGACCAGAGCAGAGCCCGAGCCTCCCTCGACTGCCCGCCCCCCCGAAGGGGCGGGAGCTGACGGACGACGACCGGCGGGCCCAGAAGGAGCAGACACGGGCGGCATAGCAGCCGAGACCTCGTCAACGCCACTCTAACGGGGACTCCACTAACGGGTACTTTGGCCAATGACCCGGCGAATCTGACCCTCCTCGATGTGGGCAACGCTGCAATGCCAGAAGGAGGCCCTAAAATGGCAACTTCCGGCAAATCTCTTAAGGACCCGTTAGCGAGTACCCGTGACAGCGCCGCTGACCTCGGAAACTGCTTCGGCGGCCGGCGGGTGCAGCGGGAGCGCGTGCACGGTGCGCAGGACGAGCAGCGCGACGAGCTGCGCGGCGGCAGGGCCCCGGGCACTCGGGGCCCGAGTGCCAACGGCAGACCGAGCGAGTGAAGGCCGCCACTCCCCTCGCCCCCGCCCCCTTCCTTCCAGCCCGCTGCCCTCCCCTCCCGTCCCCGTCCCGCTCCCCCCCACTCCCCTCCCCTCCCTCCCCTCTTCTCGCCATCGCCTTCCCTGCCCCCCCCCCCCCCCCCCCTCCCGCCCCCTCCCCCCCCGCCCCCCCTCCCACGCCTCTCCGCTCCCCAGCCGCCTCTCCCCCCCCCGTCCAGCAGGGCTGGACCCAAACGGTGTTTGGGCGATTTCGTGGGCCGTTTTCGTTTCGACTTCGTTTTGCGGCAGAGGTGGATTGAAGACAAAACGAGGGGAAACGAAAACAAAACGAATACGAAAAACACCGTTTAGGTTCAGCCCTGCCGTCCCTCCCCTGGCACCTCCCTGTCCATTCTCCTCTCCCTCCACTCCTCTCCACTCCCCGCCCTTTCTAGCCCCCCGACTCTTTAGTCTCATCCCCTCCCTTTCTGGTTCTGCTACCCCCATCCCTCCCTTCTTTTTTCACTAGCACTCAACAATTCATCAAAATGGCTCTCTCCCCTGACTCTGCCCAGAAGATACTCGGTCCTCTCCGCGTGCTGTCGTTTTACACACATGATTTCATGACTTGTGTTTTATTATGCGCGAGTGTGTACCATCCGTTTGTTGTCGGTGCTTCAAACTGGTGCTCCCGCAGCAGCATGGAGCTAATTGTCAGATCAGCGCTTTGCTCCCGTCGTTCAGAATGTCGCGCTCTCGCCCCAGCGCGTGCCACACTTCTGAATCCGAGTATTTCTCCATCGTTGTCGCCCCCCTCATTTCCCATCCTCCACCCTCCCCAGATCCTCCTGTTCCTGCCGCACCTTCCAGTCCAGTGTCTGATGCTGCTGTTCGTCCTTGTCCATTCCCTCCCGCTGATCCTCCTGCTCGCCCGCCACCTCCTCCCACTGTGCACGCAGCTCCCCTTTTGTCGATTGCGCATAACACGATGGGGTCTTCCTGTTGGAGTTGCAGGTCGGCTATGATGCGCATCCGCGGATAGAGAACAATCCGCGCAATGGGAAGGGATGGGAGGGAGGGAGGGATAGGATGTCAGAAGGGATGAGAGGGAGGGATAGGATGGAAGGGATGGGAGGGATGGGAGGGATAGGATGTCAGGAGGGATGGGAGGGAGGGATGGGAGGGAGGGGGGGATGGGAGGGAGGGATGAACGCGGGAACGCGGGAACGCGGGAAGGGATGGGAGGGAGGGATCGGATGTCAGGAGGGCGCGAGCGCACCTAATTAGCTTGATATGAATCAGCAGACCCAGTCGGCGTGTGTAAGAGGTCCTTCGGCGCGAGGCCAGCCCAATCAAAACTGAAGCACGCCAGCCTCCTTTGAATCGCCGTCGTCGCAAGAAAGATCGAACAAACCAAGAGGAGCGAGCAACGTCGCACTCGCGTCGAAAGGAAGCCCCTTCCCTCTGTCTCTCCCCCGCCGGGGCGGGGGGGGGTCCCCCGGAGGTTTCTGGGAGGGTCCCTGGGGGTGAATCCCTGGGGTCCAGGGTTAAGTCGGGCGTGTCCCCCTACAGGGGTATTTTCGACGAAAAAATAAACAGTACTAAGAATACCCAAAAATCGAAATACTCCAAAAAACATCCCCAGACTATGTTTCATTATGTTTGAATCTTCCTCCTGTAGAGGGACGGGCCCGACTTAAGTCCAGGGGGGAGTCCCAGGGGGTGTGCCCCCCCCCCCGCTGGGGGCCTCCCCCCTCGGTTTTCGACTCACGCAGCCTCCTTTGGATCGTCGGTGGCGATCGGGCAATGTCGCAGTTACGTCGGAGGGGAGCCCCTTCCCGTTGTCCCTTCCCCGCCTGGGGGAGGGCGGTCCTGGGTGGCCCCGGGGGGGGGGGTCCCACGGGGGGGGCCCATGAATGCTATGATTCCTCCCCGCTGGGGGCTTTCCCCCTGGGTGTTCGCCTTCCAGACGCCCACCCCCGAGGAGACAGACGGCTCTCCAACTCCTTTCCTCCTCCTCCTCCTCCTCCTCCTCCTCCTCCTCCTCCTCTTTTTCGTCCTCCTCCTCCTCTTCCTCCTCCTCCTCCTCCTCCTCCTCCTCCTCCTCCTCCTCCTCCCTCCACCGCCCGCCCCATGTCCTGGGCATGTAGCAGGGTCATATGTTCGTCGTTGTAGTTGTCGTCGTGGTGGTGGTGGTGGTGGTGGTGGTGGTGGTGGTCATCGTCGTCGTCGTCCTTCTGGCTCGGCGGCACCGACCGTAAGGCCTTCACAATGCTACTCTCCTCTCTCCCCCGAACATGGCCGTGGAGTAGCGTCTCTCCGCGTACTTTTCCACACACGCAAACACACACAGGATGTCTTTTTTGATGTCCTCTGCATGCTCCATCGGAACGTCTTCGGCGTCTCAACACGGTGCTGCCGCTGCAGCGTTGGCATCGTTTTGAGACCAGCGCTTTGCTTCAGTCGTTCAGAATGGCGCTCTCGCCCCAGCGCGGGCCACGTGTCGTCGGCCCCTCCTTTCCCCTCCTCCGCCTTCTCCCAGTCCTCCTGCTCCTCCCACTCCGTCCACTCCAGTGCCCGCTGCTGCTGTTCGTCCTCTTCCTCCTCCTCCTCCTCCTCCTCCTCCTCCTCCTCCTCCTCCTTCCTCATCCTCCTTTTCCTCCTCCTCCTCCTCCTTCCTCATCCTCCTTTTCCTCCTGCTCAGCCTCCTGCTCACCCGCCGCCTCCGTAACCATCTTGGCCCAGAGCCAACCACACGCGCGCGCCAGGTCGGCCCCGGCGCTGGCGGCATGGCGGCGGCCCCGCCCCTTTCCTGGGGATACGGTGCTTGTGCACGCCGCGGTCTCAGCGGCGGCCTACGGTGGAGGTGGGCGGCACGCTGGTGCAACGGCCACTGCGGCAGCTGTCCGCGCAAAGGACCCGAAGGGTGCGATGGCCGAGATGGAGTCGCTGGCGAAGCTGGGGGCCCGCTGCGCAAAAATGGCGCCTGCCATGCTCCGCAAGGTCCCGGGCGAGGCCCCCGAGGGGACGTGCACAGCGACCAGGAATGTCTCGGCGAACCGCGGGTTCGGCGCGGGGCCCGACGCCTTGGTGGAGGCCTTGAGAAGCGCCAAGAAGACTCAGCGCGGCCGTCGGCTTCGGCGCCCCACTTCGCCGTCGAATGCGGGGAGCGGCGGCGTCACGGCGAAGCGCAGGAGCTCAAAGGTGACACCGGCATCGGGAGACATCGGCATCGGGAGCAGCATGGAGCGCAAGCAAGCGCGGGCCTTCGAGGGCCCGACGGGGGACTGCGTGGAGAAGGCCGTGGAGGCGCCCCATGTCCAGGAGCAGCTGCGGCCCTTTGCTGACTCGAACGGGATCCAAGGGGCCCAAGGACACACAAATAAATACACACAAATAAAATGATCCCCCATATTTTCCCAAATTTTCTAGGTTTTTGTCCTCCTCCCCACTTCCTATTTTTTCCCATCTTTTCCTGGGAGTCGACGATTAATTGTGTCTGTGTGATTTTTCCCCTCCCGAGGGATGAGGCACTCCGAGGCGAAGGCCGTGCACGGATCCGAAGGCCGCATGCAGGGCGCGCACAGCCGGGAGGAGGGCGTGGGTCTCTCCCCGAGGTCTGCGCTCGGTAGGTGCGCCGGGAGGAGAAGGCCGTGGGGGCGTCCGACGTCCACGCGCAGAAGTTGGTGGCCCAGGGGGCCGACAAGATGGTGGAACAGGCCATGGAGCTTGCGGACGTTTACGTGCAGTCAAACCTGGTGGCCCAGGAGACAGAGCGCTCCGAGGACAAGCTCTGGGCGCAGCGCGAGGCCGCCAGGATGATCAAGGAGTCTTATGGCCCAGGATCGGGCCTCACAGATCAGCGAGGAAGCGGTGCAGTTGTGGCGGTGTCATAAGGCGCGGTTCCTGCTCTGAAGGGCAAGGGCAACCATGGCGCCAAGGGGGGCCGCGGCGAGGGGCTCACGCGCGGCTGAAGGCGC